TAGCATGATTGCTAATTTGTTGTTTTAAAAGTTAATAAGAAACAAAGAAAATAAGTTCTTTGTTTGTATACAATTTTTTTCCTACACGAAGCCTAAGGAAAGAACAGTTGATAATTGGGGGCGGCCAATATACAGGGGTAAACGTTATGATAGTCTTTATTCAAATGGGTAATAGGGGGGGTCAAAACAGGTAAAAAAGTTCGTATGACCGATGGTCCAAAAGTCAATAGATTTTTGTCTAAATGGCTTTATAGTTTACAACTTTAAGTGCTTTATATCGACCACAATCATCACAATCTCTACTAATTTTTATAATCTAATCTGAAACGTTTTTAAATTGGGTAACTAACACATTAACAAATAAATGGCATACAGTTTTTCTAGGTTAAGTAAAAATTTAAAGTCAGTAAGTAAGCATGTTTTATTAAATTAAGTATTTAAAACACACATGACAACAGCACGCTGGTCTTTCATCACTCTTATCAAACCGGCAATCGTTCGCAAACGGTAACAGTGGTTAGTTATCGTTTTGCATAGATAAACTACTTTATCGTTTTGTCGAAAAGAGCATCGGGCGTGTTGTTTTTTTTGTTCGCGTACGTTGTCGTGTTTATTTACAACGTTCTCGAATGAAGAGTTCGCCGATATGTTGTTAGTTTACGGTGGAGGTCGTCAGAATTCAAATCTTGCAAATTTATCGCGACAGATTTCGCCAACGGGTACACCCACGCAGAAGGACATTTGCGCAAGTGTTCATAAGACTTTGAAATACAGGAAGTGCTCAACCCACTAATGTTCGCACTCGTGAAAGACAGGTTACTGTAGAGCAGGAGGAACAAATTTTAAATATCGTGGATATCAATGCAGATATCAGCACTCGGGAATTAGGCCGCCGCGTAGGACTATCGCATACCATAGTCCATAGAATCCTACGGGAAAATTTGCTTTATCCCTACCATGTACAACGAGTGCAGGTCTTGTTACCAGAAGACTATCCTCGCAGACTAACATTCTGTCAGTGGTTTTTACACTAAAACATTGAAAATCGGGATTTTTTAAAAACATTCTAGCGACCGACGAATGTATTTTTACGCGAGACGGGATATTAAATTTTCATAATACTCACACGTGGGCCCAAGAAAATCCTCATACCATTCGTGAAGGTCATTTTCAAGAACGTTTTAAAATAAATATTTGGGCGGGTATTCTTGACAATCAGGTAATTGGCCCTTTCGAGTTACCCCTACAGTTGTCAGGAGAAGTATACCTTAGCTTTCTAGCCAATAACCTACCAGAACTTTTGGAACAGACCTTAGACAACATGTCATTACAACGGAGACAGAATTTGTGGTTTCTTCATGACGTGGCACCACCACATATTTTTAGAGGCGTCATTCAGTATTTGAATGAACATTATTCAAATCGCTAGATCGGTCGAAATGCTCCTGCTCCTCTAAAATGGCCAGCAAGATCTCCTGACCTCAATCCGATGGATTTCTGGTTTTGTGAGAACTTAAAGGGATAGTTTATGGGGCTGGTCCAATAACAACTGAAGCACAACTTCGCGAAAAAAATTTTAATGCGGCTGAAATAATAAATGGACAACTTCGAGGACCTAGAGTAAGAAAAAACTGGGTTCTTCGTAAGGAAACTTGTGTGGAAAGTGGAGGACGACATTTTGAACACCTTCTTTAAATACAAAAAAGTGCAGTGTGGGTTTTAAAAAGAAAAACAATGTATGTATCAAAATTGTGTTCCCTATATTTATAAGTGGTTTATTTTAATACGTTCAATAAACTTTCACACACCAGGTGAAGTGCTGAGATAGTTAGTGGTAAGTCCGTATTTTTTAATTGTTTGCATTTTACGAGCACATTATCAAATGAATAAGGTCCCCTTTCTCTAAAAAAATGCTGTTTTGAACCCCATGTTATATGAAACTTTTTGCTTCTTTTAACCTCTCTATCACCCATTTAAATAATGACTATCATAAATTATGCACCAGTATTGCTACACGCATTTCAGTAGGTGGCGCCGAAGTAGTTGTTTGAAGCGCATGTGTCCAATTCATCATGGAGCGGATTTTAAAGCTCCTGACTTTTTTATATGGGGGTTTTTGAAAAATACGGTTTATGTCAACACACCAAATACTGTTACAATCGATTGAAAATATTCCTCCCGAAACCTACCAAAAAGTGATGAAGAATGTAATCAGGTTTGCGCGGCTTCTAGATGCGGACATTTGTCTGACATTACTTTTCATACCTAATTAATAAGTCTCAATAAAAGATTAAGATGAAGAAATGGACGTATTTTATTTTATTTCACAAATATTCAAGATACAAGCCAGTCAGTTACAAATAGGCTACCCATTTATTCTTGATTTGTGAAACAGTGTTAATCAAAGAAATAAAAACAAAGAGTTTGGTTGTTATTTCACAATTTTCTAATGAGAAGTATCTGACTATTTATAACACTGAGGGAAAAATGTGTGAAGAATAAAGTTTCTATTTGTCTGACATTACTTTTCATACCTAATTAATAAGTCTCAATAAAAGATTAAGATGAAGAAATGGACGTATTTTATTTTATTTCACAAATATTCAAGATACAAGCTAGTCAGTTACAAATAGGCTACCCATTTATTCTTGATTTGTGAAACAGTGTTAATCAAAGAAATAAAAACAAAGAGTTTGTTTGGTTGTTATTTCACAATTTTCTAATGAGAAGTATCTGACTATTTATAACACTGAGGGAAAAATGTGTGAAGAATAAAGTTTCTATTTATTAAAAAATTCTTTTAGAGTAAAATAATAATGAACTGGTATTTGTTTTATGTGATATTTGCAAATATTCGCCAGAATTTTGGGAATGCGGATGCGAATGTGAATAATAAAAAACATGCGAATGTGAATGCGAGTGTTAGTGACGTCACTACCGGAAACCATAAGGCCTCTCTCTCGCTAATAAAGCCGTGATGATCGAGATACTGAACTGACCAATACTGTAGAAAGTAGATACTACAAGCTTTGATAGAACAAATTTTTGCTCAATTTTTTCATCACCTGCAGACAAAAAAGTAAAACGTGTTGCGAATTGGAAATATCAGCAATTAATATTCAATATGAAACACTAGCTGTCGATTGTTCTACCTGAAAGCTATACATCTCTCTGTATTACTATGCAAATACCGCACCGCATATCGACGGCAGAGAGGCAAAAATCCTAGAAAATATCAATTTTATACGATTTATATCCTGCTGGTATCGGTAGAGATGTAAATTGGCAATTCTAACAGCAGAAATCACATATGTGACTGCACTTGCTCACATGCTTTGATTGATCGCGCCCACCTGTCGTGTATGTAAGCATATTCCCTACCGAGCATCAACGCCGATAGCTGCAGGCAATGGCATTACTTTCGCGATGTAGATAAATAATAGCAAGATTATGAAGTGGCTAATTTGTAGACGTTGCACTGTCCTAGGCCAAAACCAAAATCCCACGACCTGGCTTGGCGGGCCATATCTCAGATCGTCGCCTTTCCCGAAACTTACCCAGGTCAGACGTGGCAACGTGATTAGAGCATAGAAAATACTATGTTGTGGCGTGGCAGAAATACGTCTAGTGCCATACCAGACAGAACACACAACAAGACTGGTGATACGCCGTCGGGAGCAGCAGCCGCGGACAGTAGATTCGCGATTCGTCTGCTGAGAATATTTTTGCGGGCTAATGTACGGAGGAATCGATGATGTGTGAAATATACCATAACCGGAATGGCCTACTTGAATACCTTCCTGAACATCAATCACCCCGCTTCAGAGGTAGTTCTTCTCGGTGGTTTTAATGCCCATAATGAGCTTTGGTTGGGCTCAAACAAGACCGATGCAGTAGGCCTTGCAGTCGAAGCGTTCGCTCTTACTCAAGGGCTGACCCAGCTGGTGAAGAGCTCTACTTTTTCCCCCGCGTCTCGCCACATGCCAGTAGCCTGCTGGATCTCTTTCTGACCACGCATACTGTCCCTTGCAGTACTGCTGTCCTGTTCCCCCTGGATAACTCAGACCACGTTGTTGTGGAGGTTAGGCTAGAACCCCCTGTGGCAGCAGAAACTCGTACAGGCCGCAAAACTTGGCATTACAGACATGTCGACTGGGAGGGGCTCAGAGACTTCTTTTCTACCTTTCCTTGCAGAGATGTCTGTTTCACTGACGCGGATACGTCGACTGTCTGTTCTTCGATAACTGAAATTATCCACGTCGGAATGGAGGAATACATCCCTCAAACAGTGAAAGTGCCTAAACCAGGGTCCAACGGCTGGTTTAACAAATCGTGTGACACTACTCGCCAGCAGAAGATCAAGGCACACAGTACCTTCTTACAAAACCCCAATGTAAAGAACAGACAAGCCGACGAGAGTCCAGAAACAAATATAACGAAGCGGTCCGCAATGCCAAACACCAGCACGATATAAGTTAGACACTGGGTAATATCGCAGCGCAATGGCAGTCGGTCTTTCTGGATGCTGGCCAAGCAGATTGCAAAGAACTTCTCACACAGTAGCCTTCCACCAATTACGTGTTAGGATGGAACGATTGTATCCGACTCAAAGGCCAAGGCGGAAGTGCTTGACAAGATCTTTGTCGCCAACTCCACCGTGGACGTTCCCGCCATCGCCCAAGTGTCGTCAATTCAAAGGGTTCCCTACACTATGCGGGAGATAACAGTCAGACATAAGACCGTAAGACGAGTGCTTTTGTCGCTCGACATCAACAAAGCTCCTGGTCCGGAATTGATTCCTGCCATTGTACTGAAGAGGTGTGCAGCGGAGCTTGCTCCAGTTCTTTCGCCGGAACCTTCCCAGAAAACTGGAAATTCGCTCATCTCCAACCCATCCAAAAAAATGATCTAAGACCGACCCTTACAACTGCAGGCCTATAGCTCTGCTTTCTGTTATAAGTAAGGTGATGGAGAGGTGCATAAATCGCGAGCTTCTGGACTACCTCGAACGTCACAGCTTGATTAGCGACAGGCAGTATGGTTTCCGGCACCAGCGATGAACAGGGGACCTCCTAGCTTTCGTCACGCTGTTGTGGAGTAAACTCATCCAGTCTTATGGTGAGGGTCATGTCGTTGCTCTTGACATCACGAAAGCGTTCGATCAGCTGTGGCACGCTGCCGTCTTAAGAAAACTTCCATCCTATGGCCTCCCAGAAAACTTTATCTCTGGCCGCAAGATATTCATCGTAATTGACGGGTTCTCTTCTTCATCCCACAACGTCAAAGCGGGTGTTCCTCAGGGATCGGTCTTGGCTCCGACACTGTTCCTTTTACATATGAACGACCTTCTTTCCTGCACGATCAACCCAATCCACAGCCTTGCTTATGACAGCACTCTACATGCAGGAATTCAGAATGACAAGCCGATCTCTGCCGCTGAGCTGGAAAAAAGAAGACTATAGCGATGACTTCCTCTCTGACGCCAGACCTGGAGGTTATCACTGCTTGGGGTCGCAACAATCTTGTACAGTTTAATGCTTCCAAAATACAGTACTGTACGTTGACGAACAAAAAGCGTCATAGCGCTCATCCGGTTTCGATGGACGGCTGAGTTCTGCCAAAGAGCCATTCATTTCGGTTGGTCGGAGTCCAGATCACCGAGGACCTGATCTGGCACGAACACGTCTTGTCAATAACGGCAGCTGCTGGGAAAAAGCTAGGCTATTTGTTTAGGGCTTTTCTCCGCCTGACCTTCTCACTCTATACAAGGCCCAGATCAGGCCTAGCCTCGAGTATTGCTCACACGTTTGGGGTGCTGCCTCCGCGACTACATTATTTATGCTCGATGCTGTCCAGAGGAGGGCGGCCCGACTGATCGATTACGGTCTCGGAACCCTTTCCCACCGGCAAGCCGTCGGCAATTTAGCTCTTTTCTACCGCTACACCAACGGGGTTTGCTCCTCAGAGCTCTGTTCCATGATGCCGCCGCGCTATGTGCCTGCCAGACAGACCCGCCTGACTTTGGCGCCCATCCTAACCGTGTCGAACTTCGTACATCCAGAAGTGGCCGATATGACCGCCCCTTTGTCCCGAGGGTGTCGACATTGTGGAACCGTCTAGAAAAGGAAGCTTTTCCCGGTTCTACTAACCTTAGGCAGTTCAAAAATCGTATTAAGAAAATTTCCTTAGGATCATCATAGCAGCGGCAGTGTGCAGGCATTTAGGCATCTGCCTGAGCAGCTGCATCGGTAAAAAAATATATGTCTAAAAGGGGCGTAGAATTACCAAGGAAGCGAACATTATAAATGCACTAACATCAAAAATTTGGAGTTAACCTCCAGTTATTTTACCTGTACAATTTTTTTCAAAAATGATTAGAATCCTCTGAAACGTCAAAAAAAATGAAGTGTGATCGATTTTTATTCTCTTTTGTTAATGTCCTTTTTCTACGCCGCCTTAGGACCGATTTTTAAAGACTGCAAAGCTTTTTTGATCTTTACATATAAGTAACATTGTGTAAAAATTTCATCGCAATCCAAGCGCTACTTTTCAAGTTATAGGAGGCTATAAGATTAGCGGACAGACCGACAGACAGACTGACGGAAATGTGTTTTTTTTTGTTTTTTTATACTACAACTACCACGAAGGCCTAAGGCCTAAGCCACCATTGAGTACCGTGGGGCTATAGGGGGATACATGGGAAAGGGGGGGACGCCACACGGACTCTGGCGAGGGAACACGTGTGCATGCAACATGCACACATTCTGGCTCCGCCTACGAGAACCGCCGGGTGGTACCTCCGCGTTCGATAGTCAGAGACCATCTACCACCTACCGACAATCACAACATCCATAGCCAAGAGAAAAATTTCTCCTGGGACGGGACTTGAACCCGCACAGCGCACGGCGACTGATCAGGAGACCGAAGAGTCTACTACTGCGGCCATCGCTGCTGCCTGATGTACATCCCATAACACATCCAAAAAACATATCTCGTTTTCGAAAATTTTCGCGATTATAGTACTTCCCCGCCAGTGGGCGCTGGAATGTAGAAATGACCTTCAAATTCTGATATGATAATTCATTCAGCAGGTATTTCAGTCAAAAGTGTTTTTTTCGAAAGTTTCCACTGGTTCATTGGCTGACAATTCGAATGCCGAAACGAGAAATGCAAAAAAGTTTACATAAAGGTGATGATCCATCAGGCTAACCACCTATATACCTGTGTGGAATTTTATACTCGAGCCTTTAAGTTGGTCGGATAGTCCTTTGGATCCCATTTTCGATATTTTTGCCTAAACCTGGTAATTTCGATGATACTGGATGGCGGGCCATGTCTCATTTGCTTTCTCAAGATAGCCTATAAAAGCGTGAGATGTTAAAATCTCAAACTCCTAGGTCGTACAGTTCGCTCTGGAAAATCGTTTAAAATTACGAAGTTCGGAACAAATGTGAATTTCAGACTTTTTTCATTTTAAAGCTGCTCCTATCATTGGAAAGCAACAGGCCCCGCAATATATGATTATTTTGCATAATTGTCCCAAGGATTCAAAAATGGCCTTCAAATTGCGATCTTGTAATAAGTTTGACAACAAATTTCAGTCAACACTTTTTTTAGATATTTTTCATTGTTTTCTAGTGACGTAACAGAAAATCGGCAAAGTTTTTTCTGGTAAAGACGATGGATCTGGTCTCCGTCTCATCGGTTGTAACTTGACTCTATTCCTCACCTGTCACGTATATCCCTGAGCAGCGTTTGTGGCATGAACCTAGAGACATCCGTGGTGGTAGTGGTGGTGGTAGTAGTGACAGTAGCAATTGCGATTGGGGAAGATTTACCACTGCTGCCATGATTTAACGAATCACAGCTCAGATTACCATCACTATCGTCGCTAAACAGTTCCACTCCGCTGCAAGGACTACTCGCTCTATCTTCCGGACCACCTGGAACAGAAAAAAACGATGATATTTCGTTACAAGATATTTTATATTGAGAGAAAAGTCGAGCACGGCTACATGCAATCAGGGACAACAATCCCCAAAAAGCGGGATCCCGCTCCACTTATTCGCCTGCGGGATCCCGCATTTACAAAACGTGGATCTGCAAAGTTTCAGAATTGGCGCTAAATCTTCCACGTACTCCTAAGTGCGCGAAAATTTCACACACGAATTTTTCGTCATAATATTGATATACTTTTTTAATTAGACAACATTTATACAGATTCTTTCAAAATGATATGAATGTTAGCTAAAGTTTCTTATAATAAGCTATGACGAATTTCACTTTTTTCGCAGAATAACCAGGTCAGAAGTACGTCATTTCCAGGTTATTTGATTTTTCCAAAATTGTAGGAAACATTTCCAAAAACTGACACGGAACGACGAAGTATAGTAATTTCGAAAAATTCAGATATTGAGATATTGTTATTCATATGTTATGTCACATGTACATCACGAGGAACCATATCACCCTTTTCCGTCTGTGTTTCGGTCTGTCTGTACGCTAATAGTTAACCCCTCTATAACTTGGAAAGTACTGCCCAGATTTTGATGATATTTTGAGACAAGGATACTAACTATCCTTGGCATATAAAAAGTTTTGATATTTTGAAGATCTATCTAGTAGCGTTGAAGCTACGGTTAAAAGACGAACACAAGAAAATCACTTAATCATCGTTTTTTGACGTTTCAGTAACTCCGAGTTGATTCTGGAATTCCTGTGAGGGCTTACAAATTGGTGGAGAGAAGAGAGGCAGTTACAAGGGATGGTGGAAGTTACATCTCAATTTTTTAATATATTTATACGTTTCTAACAGTGGTAATTCTATGTATCTATGAGATAAATTTCACACATATATTTCCCCGCATATTTGCTCTTAAGACTTGATATTCGCGTTGAGCGCAACGAATGTTGGATGTGAACCTGTCGCGAGATAGCCGCTGCCTCTGGCGGTTCACTCATTGCAACTCTCACCGCAACGTTCTCAGATTGTGGTAGAGAAGAACAGAAATTTCTATATAAAAACGTTGTCAAATATGTGGTGACTGTATGATTTTATTTGACTGACTTGATCTGTTTAATTTTTTTGAAACACATGTTCGTGGTACCCGTACTTGTGCCGAACATTATGTTTAATGGCCAATTTTTTAATTTGGCAAATTTTTAGATAATGTCTTTGGAATTATACAGGGTGGTCCATAAGTCCTTTGAAATTTCAAATTTGAATAAAATTTAACGGGTGAGCGTGAGCGGCGCGGGCGAGGTGGGGGCAGTATCTTCAGTGTCTGGGAATTCAGTCGCCATGGAGTGTTTCACTGGAGCGGATCGTGCTTTTTGTGTGCGCGCGTTTTATCAAAATAATGATTCGACAACCATTGCGCGGCGTAAATATCGAGAATACCACAATTTACACAATTTTACAAAGTGTCCAACAGCTCAAACGATTAAGAACTGGGTTGCTAAGTTCGAAGAGACTGGTTCGACGTTAGATAAACGGCGGTGGGGTCGACCAAGGACAACTCGTATTGAAGAAAACATCAACATTGTGGCACAGTCTGTTCGTCAAAATCCTACCCAGTCTACTCGTAAGCGTTCCAGTGCACTAAACGTACCCAGAACATCTTTACAGCGGATTTTAAGGAAAGATTTACGTCTGCACGCTTACAAAATTCAGTTAGTGCAGGAATTAAAAGATAATGACGCTATTCAGAGACTAAACTTTGCGAATGAAATGTTGAATCGATTTTCTTCGCTCAATAATGTATTGTTCTCGGACGAGGCTCACTTCCATTTAAACGGGCATGTAAATAAACAAAATTGCCGTTATTGGAGCCCCGAAAATCCAAGGCGTAAGCGTCAGAAGCCCTTACACAGCCCTAAAGTTACAGTTTGGGCTGCTATGTCAGCGCATGGCATCGTAGGCCCTTAGTACGACAGAGGTCGCGCATTAACTGTTACTTCGGAGCGGTATGTAGCAATGATAGAGGAGTTTTTGACAACAGCGTTGCAGAATTTTCCAGGCTATAATATGCAGACCTGGTTTCAACAGGACGGAGCAACTGCCCACACCTCCAACACTTCTATGCCCGTCGTCTGTCAACTTTTTCCCAGCAAAGTAATTTCTCGAAGAGGAGACATTTCCTGGACACCACGTACTCCAGATTTGACCCCAATGGACTTCTTTTTATGGGGCTACCTCAAGAGTAAAGTGTACGACACCACTCCGCGATCAGTTGATGTCCTGAAAGAAAATATCCGAAGAGAAATGGCAAGCATTACAGTGTTGACTTGCCGCGCAGTCATCGACAATTTTAGACGTCGTTTATATGAGTGCCGTGATCGTAATGGATTGCATTTAGACGATGTGATTTTTAAAACATAATTCCCATTCAATAAAGATGATAACAAAATATAATAATTCTTCATAATGTAACAAGTTTGGTTTTATTCCTTTTTTTTCCAGCTCAAAGGACTCATGGGCCACCCTGTATAAACTAAAGTGTTTAGATAGTTGGTAAAGCAGCTTTCCATCACCAAGGTGCAAAATATTTGTATCTCATATTCCATAGTATTTCACTGTAATCCACGGGTTATTTGGATTTCATAACATCTATACAATTTTTCAATCAATTTTGGTCAAGCGAATCGTTCTAAATCTAATATTGGTCTTAGTGGTATGTTATTATACGTATGTATGGCTATAGATTCCAAGCACATCTCGCTATTCAGAAAGGTCAAATTAGTATTTTTACCTATGATGGAATTCAAACTGTAGTTAGTCACGATAGGATAATCTACAATCTCTTGATTTAGTACCTTTCACACAACCTTGGAAAGGAACGGATAATACCGTAAAGTTCAGTGAAATTATTATCATTTATAGTAGACTCCTGTTGCTTGTCACGTATCTCTGAATATACGAATAACATGCATACCTAATTACTCAAGCTTAAGCTAGGGTTTATCGAACACAGAAGCTGTTTCGGTGCTACCCACGCGGAAAAGTATTATAAGCAAGAAATATTTCAGATGTTGCATTTTTTAGATGTTTTCTGGAATACAAAAACTATATTCTATAGTTCTGAATGAGTATTCCCAATTGGTAAGTTCCTGGTATATCTAAACTAAGCAGACTATGTGCTATATTTTAAGAGTGGAATGTGATTGTAAATAGAAGCTAAATGAGTTTTAATTTCGAGGTAAAGCGGGAACTATACCTACCCCATGCTCCTTTGCTGGCTTTAAGGTTTTTTTTTCAAAATTGTAATGAATAACGAAATTAGAGGTACTCCGGCAGCCATGAGGGGCCGACGCATAGGCCGCATAAAGGGGACCTTATCCCTACGTTCCCTAAGTATCAAGCTCCGCTCTTCTAGCAAAGTTGAGTCCTAGTTCCTTAACATTCTGGGGATCCAAAGTGTTGGACCACAGTATAGTCTGCCTGTAGTAGCTCAGAGCCTCACAGCGCTCACACACGGGATCCTCAGGCAGCCCCATCATATGGAGGTGGCGTATCAACGAGTTATGGTCAGACAACAGTCCCACCAATAACCTGAGCTTGGTCCTATTCATAGATAAGCAAAAGCAACTATCCTCAATACTAGGTCCTACGATGAACGCCCGCACCTGACGGATATGTCTAGAGACTAACGATATCGGATGCTTTGCTGCTATCCTGAGCCTTCCGGCATTGCAATACAAGTCTTGAAGTAATCTTGCAGGCACATAGTGCTTCCATCGCATCCTGACTGTCGGAGAATATTGTTATTCTTCTGATAGAATCGCATAAATTTCCGCCTGGAAAATTTCCTTCGGAAACCTTCCGGCTTTCGGAGTCCCAATACGCCCTCGACGGATACTCCACATGAAACTTGCGGTTAAAGGACGGGATCTTCCCTTTGCAATTCAACTAAGATTGCCACAACGCCACAGTCGATGTGCGACTACTCTCGCCTCTCCGCGGATCACTAGATCCAACGGTG